AAAAAATAAAACAAACATGGGATTCCACTGAATTTCTGCTTTGGTTTACTTCCCCTTATTTCTGAAAAGCAGTGACACCTGTTCCTTTCATTTAAATACTTGGTTACACCTATCAAATTCTTCTGTCTATTAAAATCTTCCATATATTGAAGTGAAAAAAAAAAAAGGACGGGTGCAGTGGCCTAGAGGTGGAGCTCTCGCCTCACAATCCGGAGGCTGTGAGTTCAATCCTAGGTAGAGGCAGATATTTCTTTCTCTCTGGGCACAATGAGAATATATCTGCTGAACAAAACTCCGCATTGGTCACAGGAAGGACATCCGGCCATTAAACACTCTGCTAGCTCCATTCAGTTGCCCAGACTCCACCCCACAAGGGATTATGGCATCGTTAAAGATGATGATGATGATGATTGAAGTGGGGGAAAAAATCCCCCTTCTCTCTCTCACACACACATGCGCACACAGAGCCACATATGCATGGAGAAGGCATCAAGTTCCGTCTCAAACATCTCCAGGAAACTGAATGAAGTTCAATTCCTGGTCACGTCACCAGCACATCGATGATGTTCCTTCTGTGGCAAGGTGACAGCAGCAGTGTGCTATTGTCTTCTTGTAGGAGAGTTTGACCTTGACCTAAGCTAGGTTCAAATAAAGGACTAGCTTCTGCAATCTGCAAATCCTAGCCCTGAGATTTCTCAGTGATCTTCTTCCAAGTATTAACCAGGTTCAGTCCTATTTAACTTCCAAGACTACATGAAGTTAGGCATGGAAATCTTGTCCCAAACCTTGGATTGCTTCTCTTAGTTGGATGAATGAAACATAAATCAGCAAAAAGCATCTTCTTGTTCTTTGCAATGCTTATAATGCAATGCCATTCTACACCAGGGGATTTTTTTTCAATTGCAATGCTTTGACATTGTTGAAATTACATATAGCAAAAAAAAACCAAAACTTGCCACATTAGTAATTTTTTTTTATATTTCTTCTGTGACTCTTATTAACAATAAAATGTAATAAACAATCTCTTTCTGAATCTTTAAAGGTCTATGAAAGAAGTACTGTTAAAAACAAAACGTTTTTCTTAATTGTCTTGTGTTATTCATTATTATACTCCATTTGACTTGGGTAGAAAATTGATTTTCCATTTTAACAGTGGTGCAAATAAAGCACCACATTTGCATAATGAGTAAAAACACAATCAAATATATAAACCTGCTTTCAGATATTTGTGAAAAAAAGCCCCTAATGGATAATGACCAATAAACCAGCCACAGAGTCATATTTTTGTTGCACAAACCAATAGGATACAAATAATGTTTACTGAGCACATAAAGATGACCAAATCTCCATAATGGAAGATTTTTCAACTTAAGGATAATATCTGTTTCCTAGATGTCTTTCTCCATTGGCCAATCTATTAATCTAGTTATGAATATTACCTGAATATTGACTTTTAGTGCAGTTGCAAGTAATTAACCAAAAGGTTTGCAGACTGGCAAGATAGCCATAGGAAGCCTGGGCCAGTTGTTTTTTTTTGCAGGGACAATGGCAAATCATTTCTGAAAAGTAATTACTTGCCAAGAAAAGTGAAAGGACTCACAAGGCAGTCTCACAAAGGAGACAGAGGAACACAAAGAGTTTAATAGGTAAAGGTAAAGACTCGCACATATGTGCTAGTCGTTCCCGAGTCTAGGGGGCGGTGCTCATCTCCGTTTCAAAGCTGAAGAGCCAGCGGTGTCCGAAGATGTCTCCATGGTCATGTGGGTCAGCATGACTAAATACCAAAGGTGCACAGAATGCTGTTACCTTCCCAAAAATAGGTGGTCCCTATTTTTCTACTTGCATTTTTTACGTTCGTTTGAACTGCTAGGTTGGCAGAAGCTGGGACAAGTAACGGGAGCTCACCCCGTTACACAGCACTAGGGATTTGAACCACTGAACTGTTGACCTTTCGATCAACAAACTCAGTGACTTAGCCCCTGAGCCACTGCGTTTGCAGACTGGCAATAAAAGATAGCTATAGGAAGCATCCGTATATATATATATATATTTATTTATTGACAATTTTAAATACAGAAATAAAATTAATACAAACGAAACTCAAAAAGTAATAAAGAATAAAAAAGTGCCAAGAAAGTAAAAGAAAAAAAGAAAAATGAAAGAGTGAAATAAAGAAAAGATGTGACTCCTAATCTTCCAAGCGTGGTAATTCTTCTACCTCCTATAAAGTTACAAATGGATATCTATGTCTTCATCGCATATCCCATACTTATCTATAAGCTGGGATGCTGACGTTTCCTTTCCATGGTATCATTTCCATGAAAATATTATGAATATGCCACGAGGTGAGGCTAGCAAGAAAAAAAAATCAAGCCTGACCAACTAAAATCCATTTCAAAGGGCCATTCTCATCAAGCAGGTTCACCATTATTTGTTCTTTTTATCCACATTTGTCACTAAACGAATCCAAAATTGAGGACTATCCATGGGAGATTTTAAAAAAGAGCTACATGGCAGGTATAATCACTTGATTGAAGTCCCACTGCTTTTATACGTTGATATTCTGGGCTGGGCCCTCGATCAAGTGGCCACAGTCATCATCTTCTGCAGATACCCCTACTAGGTTTACAACTTGTATTGTTCACCCTTATGAACTCAAAACTCCACTCACTCAACCTGCACACACATAGAAAATTATCTATCCAACTCAGTCTAGTTGAGTAGATCAAGTTTACATTAGAGAAGAACTGAGGGAGATTACCCACTGTGCAATGTTCTTCATTCTACGTTAAAGAATAGACTAGTCAAGACCATACAAGCCTTGACCAGTCTATCAAAGCTAAGCCAATCCCCAGAATGCCTCTGTCCCAGTCAGTTCACAAGGGAACCATCTGTTATTCTGGAAATGATATTTTATTGTGAGAAGAGCATAATTCTCCATATAAACTGAAATCTTTCTGAGCAAACCTTTCTGCTTTTTGTCCAGCTTTAGATGGAAATTTCATACTGTATCTTTCATGAATGCCAATTCACACAAATGCATGGAATAATGCTTATAAGCATATAATTAGCATTATTGGTCTTACATCTTTTTGACCGTATACTAGCCAGAACTGTACATTAATATACAAATATGAGTATTTATTTCTTACATGATTATACATAATTCAAATATTTGAACATAGGTAGAGTACAGCTAGTGATTGGCATGGTGGTTTATTTATCAAGTTTAGAGACCACACATGACACTCATGCAGCAACTCTAGTTAAGGGGTTTGACAATATGCATATGCACCCTTTGTCGGTGTGATGTATCTGCATTTTAATACTTTGGATAGGAAAATTAAGGTCCTATTATATAGATACATAATGCTAAGCCATAACCTCATTGGAAAAGCCACTGCTGATAAGGTTCATAGATCACCATCACCAAAATCCAGATGACAGCTAAATGGCAATCACGTAGTGATCCTTTGGATTTTTTTGCAGTCCAGACGTGGTAGCCGGTACTGTAGCCCAAATCAGATTAATCGCTTACCATTACAAAAAGCCCAAATGGCAGCAGTATTAAAATCCAAAACCTGGTTTTCTGCTGAATCTATCTCAACAAGAGTGCCCATATAGTAATTTAATCCAAATTCTCAGAGAGCTAAAGAAGTCCTAATTTGGGGCTAGGTGGGGTGGCTTGCCACAAACACTACAGAACATGCAAGAAGACATATGACACTGAAACAGCAACTCACCAGCCATGTTCTGGTGCCCGGTGTTGCAATCCTGTCTCGGTGGTCAGTTCATAATTCCCTGCATTTGTTCACTAAGGTAAGCAGGCCATGGAGGCTTAAATTTATCAGGTGAGTGCAAGCACAAACTAGAACCAGTTTAGCACTTGGCCCACCAACATAACTCAACCCAACCCAACCATCCAAACCAATCCAACCAAACCGAACCATCCAATCCAACCCAACCCAACCATCCAACCTAACTCAATCCAACTCACCAACCAACCCATCCACCCAACCACCAACCCAACCCAACCATCCAACTCAACCCACCCATCCAAACCAATCCAACCCAACCATCCAAACCAACCCAACCCACCAACAAACCTACCCACACACCAACCAACCCAACCCAATCATCCAACCCAACCCAACCCAACCATCCAACCCAACCCAACCCAACTCACCAACCAACCAACCAACCGACCCACCCACCCAACCCAACCATCCAACTCAACTCAACCATCCAACCTAACTCAACCCAACCCAACCCAACCATCCAAATCAATCCAACCCAACCATCCAACTCAGGGGTGAAATGCTCCCAGTTCAGACCGGATTGCCCGATCCGGTAGCGATGGCGGTGGGTGGGTCAGAGAACCGGTAGCAAAAATCCCTGCGCCCCTCCACCATGCTCAGTTGAGTCGCACGATCATCAGAGGCTTTTTTTTTTTTACTTTTCAAAGCATTTTTTCTACCTCTTCCGGGGAAAAAATGCTAAAAAAATGCTCTGATGATCGCGCGGCTCAGCTGGGATCCTCAGAGGCTTTTCAAAGCATTTTTTTTCTGCAACCTCTTGGCTGAAGAGGTGGTAAAAAAAAATGCTTTGAAAAGTCTCTGACGATCCCAGCTGAGTTGCCTGATCGCCAGATGCTTTTTAAAGCATTAGAAAAAATGCTTTGAAAAGTTTAAAAAAAAAAAAAAGTTAGCCACGCCCACCCAGTCACATTACCCCTCCCCACCAAGCCACGCCCACAGAACCGGTAGTAACACATTTTACATTTCACCCCTGATCCAACCCAACCATCCAACCTAACTCAACCTACCAACCAACCATAGAGAAACCAACCATTTCTTCCCGGGTTCCTCCCAAGGAAAAGAAAGAATGGCCTCCGCTCGGTAGATGGCGCTATGGGTCCGAGCCGCAGCGCTCTTTCTCTCTCTCCTCCGGATTTGGACTTTCCTCGGCACCGCATCATGCGGGCTTGGCCGGCCCCTCGCGAGGAGCCGGAACGCCGCCGCCGCCGCCGCTGTTATTCCAGCCGCCGGACCTCGGAATCCCGCGGGGCCGCCGTCGCCATGAGGCGCTGAGAGCCGCGGCCCGCAGGAAACCCCGCTCCGCCGCCCCCGCCTCCCAGCAAGCAGTCAAGCCGAGAGTCGAACCTCGCCTGGTCGCGCGTTCGCTCCCTCCCTCCCTCTCTCGCCCGCGGCCCCGTCCGAGACCATGTAAACCGGAGACCGGCTAAAGCCCGAAGGCCGGCCCCGAAGAGCGGGGAGGGCGCCGGAGCTGCTGGCTCGGGAAGGCCCCGCCGTGCTCCGGAGCGTGCGTGGGTTGGGGGGGAAGAACATGGCGGCGTCTAATCTCTTAAAGGTGAGGAGGGAGCGAGGCGGGCAACCCCTCGCCCGGCTTGGCCCGTCCGACCACTAGCTCCAGTCCCGGGCCTGGAGGAGCTCCGGAGGGAAGGGAAGGGAGGGCCGTCGGGAAATGGAGGAGCGACGGAGGGAGTCCTAATCTGTGGGGCTGGAAGGAAGGACGGGGTGGGTTGTATTCGTGACCCGCACTAAAGGCTTGTAACTTCCGCGCTCCTTGTAAAGTGAGCAACCTTCGTTGTTCACCTCAACAACCTCAAGCCACGAGCGGTAAAACATTCTCCCCCCAACCGTGTCCGAAGAAGAGGGACCCCCCCCCCGACCTTAGAGATCGGCCCCCCCCCCCCCCCCCGGTGTAGGAGAGTGAGAAAGAGAGGGAGGGTCCCGCTTCATGTAACGACCCCGAGATTGCCTGAATGGACTCGGTTACATCACCATTATAAACCAGCTAAGCTGGCTCTGGGGTTTGTGTACATCATCTTAATAATAACGCAAATTAGCCGCCTAGAATTTCACTCGGTGTCTTGTCTGCGCTCAACCCCTGTAATAATGGTTTGTGGATGCGAGTGCTATTATTATTAGTCTTTTTAGTCTAGATTATTAGCCTAGAGTAGACCATTAGTCTTTTATCATGTGTGTGTGTGTGTGTGGTGGTGAAAACAGGAGGCATGAGTTTTAGCTCTCTCTCTCTGTGTGTGTATGTATAAAGATAGATATATATATATATACTGCTCAAAAAAATAAAGGGAACACAAGCAGAAGACATCCGAGATCTGAATGAATGAAATAGCCTTATTAAATAACTTTGTTCTTTACATACAGTAGTTTATACACTGCTCAAACAACTAAAGGGAACACAAAACTACTGTATGTAACGAACAAAGTATTTAATAAGGCTATCTCATTCATTCAGATCTCAGATGTCTTCTGCTTGTGTTCCCTTTATTTTTTTGAGCAGTGTACACACACACACACATACATACATAAATATAGGTGTGTGTGTGTGTATGGCTAACTGATGATAACTAAATACCTTGAAATAGATCTATACTAGTCTCCCTTTATTTCTTTATCAGCAAATATAAATTTGGTATAAAATGGTTTGTCGTGAATGCAACTGCTTGAGGGCTCCTGGATTGGAGCTGAAAGGCAAAAGGGAAGCAAGATGCCCAGGTGCTTCAACAAAAAAAACACTTAATATATATACATACATATATACACACACATATACATACACACATACACATATACATACACCCATACACATAGCTAAAACTCATCATGCCTCCTGTTTTCACCACCACAACTCTGTGATGTGGGTTGGGCTGAAGAGGGAGAGTGATTGGCCCAAAGTGTTAAAGTGGGGGGGGGGGAAGCAGGGTTGTGTTGACTGTGTTGTGTGAATGCAAATATGAATGACAATATGTTCTGAGGGGCTTTGATTGGTATCTCATAGATCAGATTGTCTTCTGCTTGATTATCCTTAAGTGCAGACAGTGGTCTGCTTGAAAATCAACTTTGACTTATCACTTTATCAAAACAAAAAACCCAAAGCCGTTTGTTTCCATACTGCATTTTCCTGCTCTGAAAAGTGTAATGAAATAATTTACTTGATAATGCGCTCTTACGTTTCAAATATTAAATATTTTTATACTTCATTAAATAGCCATAGAATAAAAGTATAGCTATAGGCCTATAGGGCAACTCTAACATCATGTAAGGAAGGAAAGAGAGGACATCTGTGTGTGAATATATGTTTCAGAGTATCTAGAAATAAATTTATTGAGAATAAAGATAAAGAAATTTCTAGTACAGATATTTTTTGTCAATGTTGAGCAGGGCTAGTAGCTTAAATTTAATGTTCTTCAAAATTGGGAATATACTTGAAATGTTTTCTATCTCTCTAATATGCTTTAACAGCTCTTCACTTAATTTAATGTGTTTGTATATTGTGTTCAATGATTTGACAGTAATCTACTTCCATTAATCAAGCCTTTCTTGCTCATAATAATTGAATAATGTATTTCATTAAAGTAGGAATATGTAATCACTTACATATATGCAAAATAAAAATGTACATGAACTAAATGTTTTAAAATAACTAGTAATAGAGAAAACGACATTATGCTTCTATTCTACTTTATGCTACTATTTGCTTCATGTAGCTCATTAGTCCGCACTTGAATTCTCTGAGCAGTTCACACAATACTGTAAGGTTAAAATTTGGTGGGCTAGTTTATGGGTCAGTCTGCAGAAAAGATTGCCTAGCCTTGCTATAAATTGATGAATGTAATATAACATTAAATTTTAGAGCTAGAGCAAGCACTTATGAAAGTTTCCTAATATATTTTTAAACTAATAATAAATATAAGGCCATTTCTAAGATTTAATAAAGGTAGACAATTACAATATGATTTTAATGAAAATCATATGACAATTTTAGATGTTCAGGAATATCACGGATAATCACAGTACTCTTTTCTCATGGAGCGAACATGTAAGTTTTTAGTATCTCGATCCATATTAATTGTATACAAAGCTGCTGGGTAGGTCATCTGATGTTTTGGGGTATGATATCCTCATGCTGTTGACATCCACCTTCAAAATACTGTGAGCTGTAAGGAAGATGCTGACAATGTTTTATCCTGATTCCTAGAGGCCACAAGAATTTGAATCAGAGAAAACAGGCTGAAGTTAAACCCAAATAGTTGCTGCATGTACATCAGGATTCTCTGTCAATACCAGTCTTATGTGAAGAAGCTTGTAATTTTAGGGGGTCCTTCAGGACTCCATTTTCTCCCTGAGCAGCAGATGTAACTTGCTAGAGGACCCCTTGCCATATAACTCAAACTGCAACAGTTCCAGAATGCAGCAGCTGACTATGTACCTGGTTCTAAACATTGGGAGCCTATAACACTGATTATATTCTGGCTGCCAATTGGTTTTCAGGTATATTTAAGGTGCTGTACCAAGCCCTTCATGGTTTGGTACCTAGCTATTTAGAGCAGAGGTGTCAAACTCATGTCACGGCAGTGTCATGTGATGTATTGGGACTTTCCCCCCTTCGCTAAACCGGGTGTGGGCGTGGCCAGCATGTGATGCATCCAGCCCAGGAGTTTGACAGCCCTGATTTAGAGGATCTCCTGCTTCAGTGACCCTATCTGCTAGATCTTGAAGGAAGATTCTATTTTTAATCCACACTTCTGAGAGATGAGGGGTCCCAAAGTTAGAAGGAGTTGGTACTTTTTATGGCAGTGTTGGTGCTCTGGAAAGCCTTTCTCTGAAGATTCAAATCTCCCTCCCCTTGCTGGTTTTTAGGAGAAGACAAAAAACTATTACTTCTATTAATAAGCATTTCTCTTTATTTTCTGTTTTTACTTGCTAGCCTGTCTTTATGTTGGGTGCTTTATGATGTTTATGTTTTCTTATCCTGTATTCTCTGTAAATCACAAAAAGTCTTTAGATTATGATGGAATATAACTTTGCTAAATAAATACCATAAGATTTATATCCTATTTCAATATTACCTTTTTTACTGTATAAATAATTGATACAAATTGTATGAAATGGTGGCTGTATGGAAGTACATTTGTTTTAAAATATTCACTGACATTTTCAGCCTTAAAAAGAAATTTATATAAATGCTAGAAGGGCAGAAATTGTTCTTTTTAATTACCCTGTTTCCCCAAAATAAGGCATATCCTGATAATAAGCCCAATCGGGCTTTTGAGCGCATGACAATAAGGCCAAGTGCTTATTTCAGGGTTCAAAAAAACATAAGACAAGGTCTTATTTTCGGGGAAACACAGTATTAAATAAATTTTGAGATTTATTTAAAAAATGAGAATCTCAGAAATAGGTAGAAAGCATTAATAAGAAATAGTATATAATGATACTAAATTAAAATGTTAAAAAGGATCCATACAAAAATTTCCTTTTCATTTTTGGACTATATGAATATTTAAATATATATATGAGACTAATCTGTCCATTGAAGGTTAGCCACTTAAAAATTCAATCAGTATTTTTCAATCAAGGTCTGCTGAGCCTGTTTGCTATTTTATTTGTAAATAAACAGCATACATTCATATGGCTCTTATTATATTATTGTCCTGTTCATATTCTTGTAAATCTAATCTGATGTATAATGAATCTTCATGAAATGCATTAGTTTCCCTTTATAGTGTTTATGAATAGAATGGATGTGCTTGGAAATGCCAATGTTATGCAGCTTGGCCATCTCTGTAAATATTGCATGGTTCTGGCTTTTAATCTGGTGGGAGGAGAACCAAATGGATTTTGAGAATTTATCTTGATAATATTCCAGATTGTATGGAAATAAAAGCCTACCTATAGTTGCATCTTCTAGGTTTCTGAATGCCTTGTCCTGGCTTGCTTAATAAAACTAAATGTAAATGTGTGCAAAGTAAAATTAATACCATTCTTGGCACATATCCAGCTGATAGAAGGATCCTAAGCCACCAATTCTTATGTTTATTCAAGAAGCAACATGAATTATGGTTCTCAATAGATATATTAAGGTTCATACATCGCATTGGGCCATAATTTACTTAACCATGGTTTTAGAACAACTTACTTTTGACATGATTTATACAACACATTAAGCCAAAGTTAAAAGAAGTTATGCTATGGCTTAATGCAGCTTGCAAAAGAATCGCTTTAGGTGCTCGGGTTTAGTTTTAGGTGAGCAGGCCTCCCTAACATTGGTTTTGTGGGTTAACTTTCATGCATTAATTCCTCATGCATTGTGTTTCAAAATGGCCTACACTGTTATTAAAAGTGGCTTTTAGAAATAATCATGTTGAATTATCTGAATTTACAGATTTTGTTAGCTATACATAACAGTCTAGAAGTGCCAAACATTAGAGTAGTTTCCCACTTTGTTCAATAAGAAATAGATCAAAGACATATTTTGATCAGTTTTTCGCTATAAGACATAAGCCCCTCCCAGGCAATATTTATTTTACGGCTTTTTTAATATTGTCTTTTTTGCAAGGCTTTTATTTTGTTTCTACAGTGAACAGCCCAATTTGTTGGATCAAATCAATTGGCTTATCTACTGTGATTAGTGAAAAAAAAGTTGGTTGCTGGTGCTAATTAAGTCTTCTTTCTGCAAAGAATGTTGATGAACTCAACATTCCTTGCAGAAAGACTTAATTAGCACCAGCAACCAACTTTTTTTTCACTAATCACAGTAGATAAGCCAATTGATTTGATCCAACAAATCGGGCTGTTCACTGTAGAAACAAAATAAAAGCCCCTTGCTCCTCAGTCTGTTGAAGAAAGAGCTCTAATCCCAGCTACTGTCCTGTCTTTTCCTTCCTTCATCTCCTCCTCCTTCATATTTTCTCCACCAATTGTTTTTTGTACCCTTCTTTCTGTGAAAGAAGCAGAGGGGGAGGGGTGTATCTCTGTGTGTGTGTGTAAAATCATATCATCATTGGGTTTGGTTGAAATTAAAGTATAAGAGTATAAATTAAAATATAATATTCTTATGGTTAACCTGCATTGGCTGCATTTTTATAAATATTTTTTGTGAGAATAAAATCCTTAGTGGAATCAACAGGCATATGCTGTGACATCTTTTTTTTTTTTCCTTTTGTGCAGCTTCATGCAGGAGGTACTACTGGACTATCACTTGTCCCAGTTTCTTTGTAGCTGTATTATCTATACAGCCCTTTGTTTCTTTGCTTTATTTGTGTGTCCAGTGGGTCCTGCAAACTAAACAGCTGTTGTATTCCTCCTGCCATTCAGGTTTCCTAACTTCCAAGATTTAAAAGGGAAAAGAAAGCGAGCAGAAACACATTTCTAAATTGGGCTGATACAAATTCCTTGATTATAGCATCTCTTCTTATCTCCTTGCAGTAGAGCTACACTAGTGAAACAACTTTCAATTGCCAAGTTTGTCCAGTGCTAAGGCATTAGGAAATCTGTTTAATGTCTTATGTGAACTCAGTTATTTTGGTTAGTAGACTTTGGATTATAACTTAAGCATGTTTTACGAACTCATCCAATTGTGATTATTCAGTAAAACTGTAGTAAGCCATATTATTAGTGTGAAATGTTGAACTGATCACGCTGTGAAAAGACCACATTTGTAGTGCACATTGTAGTTATATTCAATGATCTTTGGAATTATTTTTCATGTCCATTCATGCTCTAGGGTCATAGAATAATCTATTTCTAGAAATATGTGCATCCTCCCTGTAATGTAGTAAACTTTTTCTTGAGAGCTAAAAATCCAGGAGTATCAGTAAAGTTCTCAGGGATAATGATGACATAACATGGCTATATAAGGGAAATAGCATAACATGTATAAAATCTTCCATTATATTAATTCAGCTAAATACTAGTCTTAGTGTTTATATTATCTGCCGGCAGTACTCAAAATATGGTAGCATTTCTTCTTAAGCTTTGTGATAGTTTATGACTGATTATGTTCATTCCAACTATTGATCTTTAATTAGCAGTCAAGTATCTTATTTGCTAATGTCTCTTTTCTTGAAAAAGATTTCAAGTTGAGCAATGAGCTTCAGAATCAAGTATTTAGAATCAGGTATCAGGAAAATGCTGAAATCAAGTGAGGAAAGAAAGGCAAGGTCTATAAAAGTACTTCATAAAGCAAATAGTGGAAATCTTACTTATTAAGATAGAAATCTTGTTGTGGGCTTTCTTTTTGTTAGCGTACAATGGAACAAGTTGGTGGAAATTTGTTATATAGGTACAGTAGTGTTTACCTGCCACAAGTTGCTTAACTGTAGTTTACTTAATAGTTTATAATGGCTTTGTGTAAACATCTGCAAAGGTAAAAGGGGTCAAGCAATAAAACATTCTATCATTATAACCCCAGTCAAAAATGCTGACAAAATAACAAGGGATTTGTTCTTCTAAATTTTGTAAAATTAATTGATTTCAGGAAGATGCTTTGATAGTCTTATCTTAGATACTTGTTTATTTACTTATTTGTTAAATACATTTCTATGGCCGCCCAACTCACATGCTTGACTCTCAACAGCATTAAGACAAGAATAATTCAGAAACTGTGTCCACTGCTTAATTTGAATGTTCCTGGTAGAGCTTCTCCATCACATTGAAGGAGTTATCATGATGCTAATAGTTATAGAGAGGCAACATTCTTGACATGATCATATGTTACTTTTGAAGGAGTATTTGTGGGACAGAATCAGGTAAAAGACTAAGGATAATCATATATGTAGAAGAAAACTCATAAATACAATAAGTGTAACTTGTCATTATTATATCTGAACATCTTACTTTTGTGTGTTTCTTTAATTATGAATTTCTTTTGACATTTTTCTTAAACTGAAGTTTTTTTTTTTTAAGTAATCCACAAAGAAAAACAAGTAAACAAAAACATAGGAGCAAATGGTTAGAACTATATAGCAGGTTCCATATTTTTAGAGGCAGGTCTGTAATGAAATGGTAATAATATTTGATATCACTGGTTATTTTTATATAATTACGTACTATTTTTGAATCTACTGGGAAAATTTCAATAGAATAGCTACCTCTTGCAGCAATTATTAATCTTTTCTGTGTTTGAGCAGCTCGAAGTATCAATACATAAACATCATTGCTGTCAGCTATATAAAATGTATTTTCCTTTTCAGCATACATTTTAATATAGAGATAGCAGTTTTTCAGATGCATAGACTACACTGAGAGCAATGCGACATTATGTCCTTTTGTGCTTATATGGATCCAGAACCATTGATTGCAAAACACTGCTGATAGGTATATTGGATTCATATAAAAAAGGTAGATTCCTAGTACTGTACTTTGTAGTATAGACTGTTATCTAGTCATGAAGATTACAATGGTATTTTAAGTTTATTTGTTTCTTTTATCAGTGTTTCATTATGATTTAATAATATGTCCCCTGGATAATCCAATTTTACATAATTGGTGAATCATGAAGAAATGGGAACTAATTTTCTTGCATGATATTTTTAAACAGTGGCACATTTATCATATTTGAAATATGAAGCTGTTTATTGTTATTCATGTATTTATTGTTACTCATGTGTTTCATACACACACACACATTATATACATGCTTGTTTGGAAACAAGTCCCACTGGGAAAGCTTCTGAATATGGTTGAGGTGTAACACTCACTTCTCTGCAACTAAAATCTCTCTCTCTCTCTCTCTCTTTGAAGAATAAAGGATCGCTTCAGTTTGAAGACAAATGGGATTTTATGCGCCCAATTGTTCTGAAGCTTTTACGGCAGGAATCTGTTACTAAACAACAATGGTTTGATCTATTTTCGTAAGTAACTTCTGAAATGTCTATTTCTTGGAATAGAAAAATATTTATTTAATATTTATTTGTTCTGCAGTGTCTTATCAGAGCAGTTGTTCAAAGGAAGACACTGTGATGGATTTCTCACGGGAATTTGCTTTAAATACTTCTGTGCTGACGGTGCTGTTGAAGATCTTGCATTTTCAACCAAAGCAATTAAAATGAGGCATCATATACTAAAAGGCATAATCTAAGAAAAAAAGGACAGCCTTTTAACATATAGGATATTAACTTTTGTATCTTTAGCTTCAATTTTCATAAGAACTTTGGTTTCAGCTGCTTGGGTTTATTTTTTATTTATATTTTATCTCATAAAAATATGAGAATCCGATTGCTTCTTTAATTAATCGATCTTTCAAGTATTAATAGTGAGTTTACATATTCATTTATTCTAACGTGTATTAAATTTCAAGAAGATAATATTGTTTTCTCCTTTCCCCCACCTTTAGTTATGATCAGCATAGTATTGTTGGCATTTCATTTAGTTAGGTTTTTTGGGGGGGGGGAGGAGATCTGTGCATTTTGGTGCCCACACATGAGCAATTTATTTTACAACGTGTAAAATAAATTGAGAAGTTATTTTAATTTGATTTGAATTTACGTGTTTTCTAGAGATGTCCATGGAGTTTGTTTGTGGGATGATAAAGGCCCAGCAAAAATACATCAGGCGTTGAAAGAAGATATCCTTGATTTTATTAAGCAAGCACAAGCGGTAAATTAAACATAATTAACAAGTATTTTTTAACAATATGATATTTTTGTTAGATTTTACATCCACCTTTGATTTAAGAACTCAAACACCTCACTCAAATGCCTCTTGATAGGATACTGTGTATTATGCACACAAAAAACTCAGTGTAACATCTAAACTAGTTTGGACTCAAACCAGGTTAGTCACTGTAAAATCAGTATAAATGTTTGTCTTGATTAATTTGTGCTCAATAAAAATAACGAGTTAAGTATGGATAGTTTAATTTATACATGTATACTTAAATTAGTTTCTGTATGTATTTCATATATATCAATATCAAACATATTATACTGCCATCACCCTATACATGTTTGCTTTAGTCTAAGCTTCCAAAATACAATTAAGACTAATCTCTGAACTGAACATTCTGATTATGCTATATGTTTTGCATGGGAAATTGTGTGCCTCTATTTTTCTGAAATGGGAACTAATTTTCTTGCATGATATTTTTAAACAGTGGCACATTTATCATATTTGAAATATGAAGCTGTTTATTGTTATTCATGTGTTTATTATTCAAGCTCTTGATAATGCTTCTATGTCAATAAAACCTCCTTTTAAAACTCAAATATTGCAGAACCACATTTTATATTGTTTCTTCTTCATTTATATTCAGCAGCTCATTTGATACCCATTCTCAGTTCATTTATGTTTAACCTGTTTAGAAAGCAATCTGTGAAAATAACATATTATTAAAGGCATTTTGATTGGTTAAAGCTATAATTTTTTATTCAGGAGCACTGGGAGTAAATACAGCTAAGCATCAAAAATTCTCAGAACATACTTCCAAATAAGCATGCCTAGTTGTCAATTGTGCCATACAGAACATGATTCACAGTTTTGAATACTTTTCAGATTATTACTTCAGTGGCTTGATAACTTCTAAGGCTTAGGCGTAAAAAGCTGGCATATTAAGCTTCTTTCATCTTCTTGATGTTTTGCTTTAGCAGTTGTTTCCTTAATTTCAGGTACATTTTCTAAAAATATATGTCATTGTGTTGATGTTTGTGTGTATACACACACACACACACACCAAAGTTAAACCTCAATATCCAAAATAAAATGAGTGGGAGCATAATGTCTATTTGTTCATGAAGTGGAAATTCTTTGTAAATGTGCCTTATATTTGCCTTTCTCTTGATTTCAGAGAGTGCTGAGCCACCAAGATGATACTGCATTACTGAAAGCCTATATTGTAGAATGGCGTAAATTCTTCACACAATGTGATATCTTACCCAAGCCATTTTGTCAGTTAGAGATCACTCTCATGGGTAAACAAGGCAGCAATAAAAAATCCAATGTAGAAGACAGTATTGTACGGAAGGTAAGTGTTGTGTTTCATTGTAGCCTTGTTTCATGGTGAAGCAGAAGAATGAAATACTGTACCTGTAGTCAGTACCCTGCTTCCCCAAAAATAAGACATTCCCTGATAATAAGCCCAATTGGGCTTTTGAGCTCATGTGCTAAATTCCCCCCCCCCCCCAAAATAAGCCCTCCCCAAAAATAAGCTCTCCCCCAAAATATTTAAATGCATGCTCAGCCGGTCACTGCCATTTCCTCTGGTTAGGGTTAGGGAGACAGAGCTGGAAATTGGGTAAGATGGCAAGAGGAGCCCCATCTTGCTCCACGGAGAACTGGTAACAGAAATTTTGAGTAATTTGGAGAACCAGCAAATACCACCTCTGGCTGGCCCCAGAGTAGGGTGGGGATGGAGATTTTGCATTATCTTTCCCCCAGAAGTGGGGAGGGAATGGGGATTTTGCAGTATCCTTCCCCTGGAGTGGGATGGGAATGGAGATTTTGCAGTATCCTTTCCCTACCACACCCACCAAGCCACACCACGCCTACCAAGCCATGCCCACAGGACCGGTAGTAAAAAAAAAATTGGATTTCACCACTGCCTCCAGGGTAACTGAATAATAATTGTGCCCCCTGCTTATAAATGCAGACTCAGTTTTGAATTATTGTAACATTGGCCTCATAGCCATGGCGCTTTTTTAAAAAAAAAATCATTTTTTTCTCTTTCCCTTCCGGTTGAGAGATAAATACAATTTATTTTAAATCTGCCAGATCTTTTAAACCTAAACATAAAATAAAAGTTATGTTTTGTGTTTTAGAAATTGGTCCATCATGTTTGATGTTTAATTATTATTGTATTTTTAGCTCATGCTAGATACCTGGAATGAGTCCATATTTTCAAACATAAAAACTCGCCTTCAAGACAGTGCAATGAAGTTGGTCCATGCTGAACGTTTAGGAGAAGCATTTGACTCTCAACTTGTCATTGGTGTTAGAGAATCTTACGGTATGTCTTGTTATGTAAGATTATTACATTTTATTTGAAAATTATTCTAGCATTGTTCAAGTAGGCTTACACTGGTAAAAAGATTTCTGGCAAGTATGCTTAACAGGCAAATAAGTATCTTTAATTTTTTAAAGAAGTGCTTCGGGATAATACATATGTACAAACATTTATGTGTGTGTGTATGAGTGTGCATAATGATTTAGGTCATTGCAATAAAAGTTCAGTAAATTAGTTTTCTTAATATCAATTTAATGCTTTAATTTAAACTTAATGCCAAGTTAGAACTTTAAGTCTCCATGTGAAATTTAAATGACCAGGAAACTGCAGGGTTTTTCACATTCTTCAACTTTTGTCTTTTCTCTTCTGGTAAATAAGGGTTTACATCAAACACCTTAGTAGAAATTTTTTAAAAAATACGTTGCTTTTTGCATAGGAAAAATCTACAAAATGGAAGTAAAAATAAATCATAAACCCGTGGTCTGAGAGTATGAATTAATTTAAGATGGTAACTATGAATGTAATGTAGTCAGTCCAAAAACTTTCAGCTTACCTTCTGAGTTTAAAACATCAAGAACAGCCTCTCCAAAATAGATTTTATTATTCCTCAAATTGTTGAGAGCCTATTTTGGGATTTTGACAAGTAGCAATTTAATATTCAAATTATTGTAGTTTATACAACTCCTGTTGTCATTGTCTTAAGAAGATTAAGTATATTTCTTAACAGGGATAAGAAGCAATTCCTTTAATTTGATATTTCTTGTTACAGTTAATCTGTGTTCCAATCCCGATGATAAACTCCAGATTTATCGGGATAATTTTGAAAAAGCATACCTAGATTCAACAGAGAGATTTTATAGAACTCAAGCCCCTTCGTATTTGCAGCAGAATGGCGTACAGAACTATATGAAATATGTAAGTGAGAAAGTGTTCTTTTGAAGAAGTCTGTTGGTTACATATTAATATTTTAAGTGATGATGTTCTGTTTCTGCACAGGCAGATGCTAAATTAAAGGAAGAAGAAAAAAGAGCACTACGGTATTTAGAAACAAGGCGTGAATGTAATTCTGTAGAAGCAGTGAGTACTCTTTTAATAATACCAAGAATTAATATGCTAAAAAGTTTAGTAAATTAAATCACTACTTATACAAGTCTGAAAATACTCAACCTTGTTTTTTTTTTTAAGTCTAGTTATGGAATATCTGAATGCATTAACATATATATTATGTGCAATTAAAAGCAGAAATTCTATAAGGTCAAAGATAGTTCTGTTACAGAAGTTGACGCAAGATAATTACTACTATTTCCAAGCAGATTCTTCTGTTTCTAAAAGTATAAACGTACAGTTGCTGTTTCATAACCATGAGCAAAATTGTATTTGTGGTTCTTTGTTGTAATCGTTCTTTTAAGAGAACAATGCTGTGCATTGACTGATTTGTAAACATGAAAAACTGTTACCATCATAATAAAGATTAATATACTACTAGTAAAATAATCAGCTTGCACTGATAATTGTTACTTCTTTGGGTAATGAACCATCTGCAAGCAAATAACCAAGTTCAGAGAGCACTAAGAATTCCGTGGTATACTAAAGACATTTATATTTTATACTGTAAATGTATAACAGTATATGGTGCCCTCTCCCAGCATGGTGCATCCTAGGACATACGGGATATTAAATATATCAGGAAACTACCAGTTGGAAAATCAGAAAGTACATTGTTTCGCTTGCTTGATCTGCTGACTTAAATACCAGAGTTTTGATGCCACTTGTGTTTTCTTGCCAGCTAAGACTTGCGTACTCTCCTTCAGATTATGGAAGCTTAATCACTATTTTATTTACCTATGCGGATATGTTATTAATAGTATTTTAATACTTCTCCATAGTCCTTGCCATTCTCCCCTTTAGATATTGTATACATCTTGGGCGGGAGAGGAGGCTAGACTCATAGCTTTGTAATACAGCATCAACTTTCCCATTCCATGCAAATGTATTGAAACAATAGTATTCTGTGTATATTTGACCGTTAACTTTTCTCCCCTCCCAGCTGATGGAGTGCTGCGTGAATGCTTTGGTGACCTCCTTTAAAGAGACAATTTTAGCTGAATGCCAAGGCATGATCAAACGCAATGAAACTGAAAGTAAGTGAAGCTGTGGAAGTAAGAGAAATGTGTGTCCTCCCTTGGTCCCTACAGACAGTTGGAGTAAAAATGGATTACAATTCTTTTGTTATTAGAGACATAAGGAAAATACTACAGTACAATTAAAAGTTATTCTCTGCCCTATACCATTTTGGTTACATATGTTAATTTATAATGAAGTGGTATTTTCATTTTTGTCATTACTTAGTGGCCCTTCTTCTAAGATGTTAGAACAGTTGATCTTTAAAATTGGTAGATAAACTAGATGGGTCTGGACACTCGTTGCTCTTATTAGTGAAATAAGGGTTCAGTTGACTTGTTCCTAGTCCAAATCATGTCTTTTATCACATATATCTGTTTAATGCAATTCTTTAATTTTGTTCTTGAGCATGAGTTACTCTAATAACATCTGGGAACACAATTCCCTTCTAAACCCTTTATACTACTCTCTTATATATTTTCTCTCTTTATTTAAATATATTGGTTTCCTGCCTTGAGCGCAAGGGTAGATCTGGTGGACTAAGTGGCCTCTTCCAACTCTATAATTTTAATCAGCCTTTCAGGATTACAAAGAATTTGCTGTTTAAATATACAAGTATGTCTTTAAGCCGTAGAAATCCTATTAAGCTATGCATCTTTTTGTCCAGGGCTTGTCTTGAAGCCATTTCCTCCATATTACTTTCCTTTTTTAAAAAAAACAAAGTGAGCCAATTGCAAAATTTGGGAAAAGTGAATTGGAGACACCAAATGTTTATGTTACAGTCCATAAATATACCCTATGATTGCACAGTGTATTCTACATAATAAGAAAATTGAAAGCTGTTCCTGATTTGAAACAGTTGCTATTAATTCAGAGTGCATTTCTAATTTCCAGAGTGTAAGATAGGCTTGGCATTTGACCTTAAAAATAAGTCTGGCTCCCTATCTTGACAGCAGTTGCTTGACATTCACCCAGGGCCGAATATAGTAAGATATTATACCTTATGCAAATATATTGCTTTCAGCTCTCAAGGGGAATGAAATTTTATGGAAAGTAGCAACAGTAAAGACAGTGTGGTGACCCAAATAGTCTTTGTTGCATAGTCCTATAAAAGACGACTGGAAGTTGTTGCATAAAGCAGCATTTCCCACATAGTTCATTCTCTGTCTGAAGCTTGTCTTGAATAGTAAGCCATTAAACATTCTTGTGAAGGTAATTGGATATAATAAACAGGGCTGTGCAAAGCAGTTGCACTAATGCTTTGCAGAGCAGTCCTTGAAACATTAAAGCAGCCACATATTTTGGAAGGCTCATGTACCTGCGTTGAAGGCTGTTTGTCCTGTCCGCATGCATCCTCTACCCACAAAGGATCTGTGCATGCATCAGCTGCCAGGACAGACTTTGAAGCAGCTTGGAGAGGGTCTAATCCACTCTTTAAAATTCTTTGCATAGAACTCTGCATAGCCCCAAATTATTAGGAAGCATTGTGTCTTCTTCCTAATCCAAATGATTTAATCATGATTTGTCTTACTTTTACCTAGCATAAATACATAATAACAATCCACAACGAATTTGTTGAAAAAGCCAGCTCTTTGATATCACCTTGTGAAGGACTTTTTTAAGATGGGCCGGGAACTGTGTTTCTGATTGCTGTCACTGACTCCCATACTAATTATAACATTGTTGGAATTAAACTGATTTATCCTTGAGAAACAAAACTGGCTCCCAATTAAATTATTTGAACTAAATTCATAAAACTATATACGTCCTTGAACAAGGACCTATATAGTTTTCTTGGTACAGAAGTAGTAGTACAGCTACTGTGTTCTGGGCTTATTGTCTCCTTTCCCAAATATCAACTAGAACTGATTCCGCTTAGCTTTTCAATATAAATCAAGGTGACAGTTCTCTGTTAACCAGAAAAGAAACCAGAAGTTTATCTTTTGAATTCAATTTTCAAATCTGCAAAATAATTTTCCTTCTTTTCCTTAGTCCCCTTTCTCTCTGTAAATTCTCTTTACAAAAATTATGTAGAGTATCTTCAGCAAATCACATATCCCATAACAGTTTATTATTGCATAAGGTTTTGAGGATCAAAGTCTGCTTTACTAGGTGTCCGAAATATGGATATACATTCAGTTATGTCGAATTGATTACTACAGAGATGGTATTTAATAAGAAACTTTGGTCTTCTTCTTTCCTGAAAAACTGAGTTATGACTGCTAAGCAGTCCATTTCTCAGAAATTAGCTGAATACCAAATTTTCTTAGCATGTAATACAAGAATGTCTCTATCACTTCTAACCACTGTTAATGATCACTATCTCTTTACCATTTTGATTCATTTTATAATTTCTCACCTTCCATTTACTATTTGTGTTTATGTGAGTGTATTTATATTATTTCTTCAGGCCTATATTCAGACGAGATGGACTGTAATTTATAAATCCTTATAGAGTAACAAATATAGCTGTCATTAAAGTGCCATAAGATTAATTTGTTCCTATATTACAAAAGACAGAGTAAAAATAGTCCTTGGGAAACTGGAATTTCTTAATATGATATATAGTTTCTAAGGGTTGTGGTTTGTATTGTTTTATATGTACTGCAGTGATGAAAGTGTTATGCTGGAAAAGAAAGAGGAAATTGGTTTAAGGACAAAGCATGATTTTCAAACCAAGTTCTAAGTTTGGTAATCAGGAATTGCAGGAACCAGAAGCTTGGAACAAGCTCGCTATTTATTTTCAAATCAGACTTCTTAGAATTTCTTTCAGTTGTTTGTCAAGTTCATTTAGAAAGTTAGGGCAACATGAAATCAACATTCTTAAAAGAGAAAGTATTCTTTAAGTCAAATTCATTGCTAGGGACTTTTTATATAGTATTTTTGTCAACAGTGAACACTTCTACAAATCTCCTTGACTTACTTAATTTGACAAGAATAATGTATAAGGAAATATATAAAGAAAAGAAAGATGGACAAGTGAACTATTGCTATGGATTTGACCTGTGACTCTTCAATATGTTTTGTCTTCAGAATTACATTTAATGTTTTCTTTGATGGATAAAGTTCCTAATGGAATAGAGCCTATGTTAAAAGATTTAGAAGAGCATATTGTTAATGCTGGATTAGCAGATATGGTAGCAGCTGCGGAAACTATTACTACTGTAAGTGAGCATTTTCTATTTTTATCCCTTATCTCCTCTTAGAATGTTTGCTAGAAATACCAAGAATGTTTGGTAAAATAAATCTTATTTTGTTGAAATTAATATGAAAAAATGAATGTTAAAGTCCATTAAATTAAATAGGAAAGTACTACAACTTCTTTAAAAATTAGAATGCAAAATCTTCATCCATGGTTTGGAAGCTAGGTTATCTGAACTAAACACTCTGGCTTTCATCTCATATTGGAAAGCAGCCTATTTTATTTCTCTGGCTTGTTCTGAGAGCAACAAGCAAGAATCCTGGCTTTGAAACATTTTGTTCTATTTGTGATTTTTTTTTTAAAAAAACTAACTATCACTTGAAAGCATCCTTGCTTGCAGGAGTAGCCAAGCTAACAATTGGAACCTAGTCATTGAAGTGAAGATTGGATGTAATGCCTTACAATGCTCTCCCTTCCTTTGCTTAGATCAGGGGTGTCAAACTCAAGTCATCTCGGTGGCGTCACATAACGTATCAGGATTTCCCCCCCCCTTCGCTAAACCGGGCGTGGGCGTGGCCAGCACATGACGCATCCTGCCCATAGGCCGGGAGTTTGACAGCCCTGGCTTAGATATTCCTACTGTGAAGGCAGCCAGTTGGCAGCTTCATCCAGTGATTCAACCCACATCAGAGTGTTGCCATCCATAAAGGAGGAGCAACCTTGTGATTTTTTACTGTTTGTTCTTATAAAACAATTATTATATCTGAATTAGCTGCTTAAATAGAACATCAGATAGCTGAAATAGTTAAAGATGGAACGTAATGAATCAGAACTTTTCTCCAAGAAACATACTTTTGTGGCAACTTCTTACGATTTTTTTTCTATTGATAAAAAGAGACAGGTTAAAAAGCCGATGAAGTAATCTAAGACCATTTATTCTATGTATTGAGGCAGCATTTTTATTTTTAATTGCTATCATAGTTGCTTTATTCTGATGAGTTGTTTAGTCAGGAATCTTCACAGCTAGTGCAGCTAATTTAATGAAATTAAAGTAAAAAACCTTTTCCTTACTCCACAAATTTTGCTTAATATTCAGGCTGTCAAAGAGTCAACAAAAACTCTTAACACTATTGCGGTATCTTATAACATCCTATGACTTTTAGGTATGTTTTGGTTTTCTGTTCTAAATCTGGATGGGTGGCAATTTGAATTGGGTAATCTGGTAGAGTGATCCTGGTTCATGCTGATGCCATGTGGAATCGTAGCGAAAGAAAACAAGTAAATTGAAAACAAGTGGAAGAATGTCCCTATTGGGTTGGCAGCTGGTAACTTTTCTGGAGGCTAACTTGCACAAAGTGTGATTTTATGAGATATAAACTAGACCACAAGAAGAGCACTTGTATCTTATTGTAATATTCATGGGCTCATGACTGCTATATCAGAAATGCAGTTGAAAAAAGGGAGGGAGGGAGGGAGATTTCAGTTGATAATGATTGCTTGCTATTTTTTTTTTCCACCAGGCTTGGTATTTTATTCTTTGTTTTGCTTTTCAATTTTAGGATTCTGAAAAATATGTAGAACAATTGCTTACACTGTTTAATAGATTTAGCAAATTAGTTAAAGAAGCTTTTCAAGATGACCCAAGATTTCTTACTGCCAGAGATAAAGTAAGTTACCAGTTGGTTCTTGTTTCATTTTTTTATAATATGTGTTTACATGTATTTGGTGTTTTAAAACAGAAAGTGACATACAAATATTTTAAATAAGCATTAACCAAGATGTTTATGAAATCATACTAGTAAATTACCAGAAATTGAGGTTTATGTAGAGATTTAAGATAACTGCAAGATTTTATTTATATATTTGCATTGCTGTACTTGTAATCTTGCTTTAATAATAAGATTCATCAGTATCTTCATGAAAATCATTATTAATTAGAGAGTTCTCAAATAATCACAGGGTAGAATTGAAACTTGTAACAGTTCAAATTTCACAAAAAATGAGCAAATGCCTCTAGCATGACATAATATCTTACAACCCAGAAATAACATTTTAAAAGATATTGATAGGCTAGGGAAAATGTCTGAAAATAATAATAAAATGTAATGCCTCCTAATCTGGCAACAGTACTTACAAAATCATTTTGGAATATTCGTTGATTACAAACTAAATAAAGGTAAAGGTGCCTTCCAGGGGTAAGACATGGCCAACTTTCCCCCAGCTCGGAAGTTAAGTAGAAACAGACATTGTTAGTATGTGGATAAGACACTGCCAGGGAGTCCCACTGAGACATTTTTGCCAAGGATCACAGAAATAATAGTATCACTCTATACTTTATTTCACCTTTGAAAATCTAGAAATATAAACAGATTCCAGTAGGGCAACAAGATACAGATAAATATCTGAACCTGTGGGCTAATTTGGTGTACTAGCATCCTGCAGACTTACATCCATATCCCCTTCATTTCTTCTGTATTCTTTCCCCCTTTCTCATGAACAGAAGTTTGAAGCAACAGTAACCTTCAAACTTCCCCTGAAAGTAGTGAAACTTGGGGACATTTTCTCTGCTTTGGCTATTTTCCTTTTTTTTTTTTTTAAACAAGTTTTATTAAATTTTTCTTTCACATATTTTATGAACAGAGTGTTGACCGGGTCACATTTTATACTTCTTACAACATAGTTATATATTGATTTTTATAATCTATTCCAATCTTCCTTTTTGTTTTTTCAAAGAACAATTTACATATCTCAGTTTCAGCCATAATATTCTTTTTCCCTACTTCTTTATCTTATCTTACTCTCTTCTTAATACATAATATATAAACAGTATCACCATCCGCCCTTCAGTTCCTAATTTCTTAGTGTAACATCAATTAATTATCTTATTTCTCCATTTATAAAATATATTTCTCAGTAATCCCCATCACACCTTTTGCCTCTGAACAATGTACTTCATCATATTCAATTCTTGCATTGAAATCCTTTAACTTAATTGACTTTCCACATCTTATCTTAATCTCTTCTTAGTACATGATAAGCAATATCACTATCCACCCTTAATTCCTAATTTCTTACTATAGCATCAATTATTTATTTTATTTCATCATTTACAACATATTTTTTCAAATCCCCATCACACTTTTTTCACGTTTCAATTTTGTCTCTTGATTTCAGTCATTTTCATAATTAAATCAAATTGCCACTTCATATTTCATCTGCTGTTCTTTTTTACAATAAACAATATACATCATCATATTCACTTCTTACATTCACAATTAATAATATTAATACAGTTCCCTTAGATCTACTAATATATACCTTATTTCCTTCCTCCTTTCCATTATTCTTCCCCTTTTAACCATTTTCTCTTGATCTCTCCAAAATTCCACTTCTTAATAATTTTGTCCTTTCATCTCATTATCTTAACTTCTTCTTTTTATATATATTTATTGTATCTTTTCTCCTGAATCCTTTTTCTAATTTTTGAATCTATTACTTGCATAATTCTCCCCAAGCTTTTTCCTAATCTTTTTCCATTTCTTTCTCTTCCCTTTGATTGCTTCTTTTTTGGGGGGGGGATATTCCCCCCTATCCACTCTTTTTTTGCCATTGTAAATCCCAGTGTAATCATCTAACTTTTTACATTCAATTCCTTTTCCTACAATATTATTTTCTTGCTTCTCATTTATATTCTCTTTTTCCTGTTTTGTGTGTTCTAGCAAAATTTCTGATTTTTTGTTGCCTTTTAATGATTCACGCATGTTTTTAAACATCTCAATTAATTCCTCACATATCCAAGACTCCATATTTTCAATTTAAAAAATTGTTAATATTTTAACTTATATTTAATTAAGATTTTAAAGTCCATATAATCTATTTTTTATTTCCAGATAGTATCCAGTTCAAGTATTTGTCCAATACAATTTAAAGCTTTGTTGTTTTCCACCTCCATTGAAAGTTGGGACCAAGCAATTTAAAAAAAAAACAAATACTCCTTAAAAGTTCTCAGTTTCTTTTAGTAGTCAAGGTCACTGCTATTATTTTTTTCAATTTTCAGACCAGTTTTGTAGTGCTTTCTTTCCACCAGCAGATGTCTCTCTCCAATCCACAATGTTCTCAGAACAACAAAGTATCAAGCTTTCAAAAGTATTTTAAATCCACATAGAAAATACTTTCCCTCGGATTTCTTTTCCTTTTAGTATTTTTAGTTTCTCCAAATTCAGTTTTAAGTCCAGTTATAAAAATTTCCTTTCTTGGGCTTTAATATTTAAACCTCCTCTTTGTTCTTCCTTCAAGTGTCAAAACTGTCAAAGATATTTCAAATCGGGTTTCTTTTTCTTGTATTAATTTTAATTTCTTCAAATCCAATTTTAAATCCAGTTATAAAGTTTTCTTTCTTGGGCTTTGGTACTTTAACCTCCTCTTTGTTCTTCTCCCTCCATTAAAAATTCCCAAGTGCCAATTAGCCACTCATTTCCACTCTGGGACACCTTTGAAGTTTTTTTTTTTTTTAATTTCCTTTTTTACTTGTGAGTTGGCCAATCACTGACCCAGTACCAGCACTCCGTTCAAACACCGCTCCTGCACAAAAATCTTATTCCGGTTGCCGCAGCTTCAGAACGGTCATTTTTTAATGGCCACCACCCCCACCGCTGGTTCGAAGAGCAGCCTCGGACCTTTCAAGGAACTTGCCTGTTCCTCTTGGTTATCTGAGGCACCTATCCTTCTTCACCGTCCCTACAGGACGGTTCCGGTCGGAAGACCTCCCGACAGCGGTTTGCCCGGCTGGATTTTCGTGGAGCTCGTTGAAGCCCGCTATTTTTCCAGCCGGTCTCTCTGTGACGATTCCGGTTTTCTCCTGCTTTGGCTCTTTTCCCAATGTGATACAGGAATTATGTTTTTAAGAAGAGTGATTGTTTTAAAATTAACATATTTTTGTTTTTAAGGACATACTTTGGTATGAAAAAAGTAGATTGAATGCCTGTATTGAATGCCTTATTTTTATTTTAGGCATATAAGGCAGTTGTTAATGATGCTACAATATTTAAACTTGAACTACCATTGAAACAGAAGGGGTAAGTAATCTGAATGAGTACTTGACAATAACAGAATTTAATTTTTGTTTATATTTTGAATGGATATTTAATATTTTCCTTGTTTTCTGTAATGCTTAAATATATTTATTTTTAACCTGGGCAATCTCCAAACTTTGAAAACAAGTGCACAGAAGCATGCACATAATACTAAATCTCAGATACTCAGATATGTATATCTGCATATCTACTCCAAAAACAGCCAAAATCCATAATTGTTCTGGCCAATAATCCCATTACTGATAATGTTGGCGATAACCATAAGATTATTTAAAAAGAAATGTTTCTAGACATTTTTGCTTATTCATTTAGAACTAGATTTTGAAGCACATTAAATCGGCAATAGTATAGAAAATGTCTTGACAATTTCTCCAGGATCTTACAATATTTAAGTTTTCATTTCTCATTGAACTGCTTTTCTGTAGCTTTCCATATATATATATTATTTTATATTTTTAAATTATATGTAAAAATTAATATAGTCACTTTGAAATAAAAATAAATAAATTTACACAATGCAAATGTATAAAAATATTGATTGTTTTTACATAAGGCATTTCTCTTTTTTTGTTCATAAAAGAATGAGTTTGTATAATGGCATGAAACCAATATTAGTGATTCTGTATAACTTTTGGCTACTATTTTTCCTTTTTTTCCTTAGTGTTGGATTGAAGACACAACCAGAGTCCAAGTGCCCAGAGTTACTTGCAAATTATTGTGATATGTTGTTAAGAAAAACACCACTAAGCAAAAAATTAACCTCTGAAGAAATTGAAGCAAAACTTAAAGAAGTGGTATGTTCTTTTTTTTTTTTTTGTTTCTAGTTTTTTATTTGAGAGAAATAAATGTGAAGGTTGGGTAATTTCTCCTCAATGTCTTTCTGCCTTTCTGCTCTCAAAACTATCAGAACATTGCTCTATTTCTCTAAATCTGAATTAATAGCAGTGAGAGGTCAGTTACGATTTGAATGCAGTGACATGTTGATTTAGTCCTTAAAATAGTTGCTGATGAGGGCAAGGTGTCATCCATAATACAGCTAATGGTTATACATCATTAATAATGCAGTTCTATATTTGAGCACTCAAAGGTTCTACTGAGTGTGCGATATTCCCCTAAAAACTAAGTTTAGGATTGTGGTTTCATTTTGGTAGACTTCGCTGGATTTAAATGAAACTTTCAATCTATTAGTTCAGCGGTCTCCAACCTTGGCAAGTTTAAGACTTGTGGACTTCAACTCGTCCACAAGTCTTAAAGTTGCCAAGGTTGGAGATCCCTGCATTAGTTGTTGCCAAAGTTTATTTCAAAAGTAAATTTCTAAAGAAGTAATATTTCCTTGTTCTTGATATTGTTGACATTCTGTTATCTCCCTGGAGAGAGAGGAAAAGGGAGAGAGGAAGCCTGCTATATCTAAAATTAAATTTCATTTTAGGATTTTGCACGCTGTAGGTTGGAAAGATGCTTTAGCGAATGGCCATCTTTCAAAATTGTTTTTTAGAGAAACTAATCTCAACATATTATATTTAAAGCTATGCTCTTTTTAAAGTGTGATACAATAAAGTTTGTTATATTTAAATCTTTTTGAAATCAGATCATATGTAGATTTTTAATTAAAGGTGACTATCTAATCATAGTAGGAGTTTGATACCATCAAACTAGTGGAATTTCAGTGTATTAATGTAAATTAATTTGCACCTCAGAACATTTCCTATCACTGATTAGTGATCACAGTCCTTACTGGCAACGAGCAGTCGTGTTTCATTTTGGGACTGTTCATATTCAAACATTTTAAGCAGTGGATATTGTATACTTCCTTTTGATCACAAACACATTTTTGCTATTTAAAATATGATAAAAAGGCACTAATATGGATGCATCGGTATAAATAAGGTGATGATATATTTTGTTCCATGGTGATTGAATATGTTGATACATGAGGAATTTTTGAAGGGTGGAGTTAATACAGGAATATATTATTCCTGATAAAATATATTCTGCAATAGGGGTAAATACTAATAGCAATCATAAAAATATGTATAATGCTTTTTAAAAACAGCTATTGGTACTCAAGTATGTACAGAACAAAGATGTTTTTATGAGATACCACAAAGCTCATTTAACAAGGCGTCTTATATTGGATATATCAGCAGACAGCGAAATAGAAGAGAACATGGTTGAATGGCTGCGGGTAAGTTTATCAATTCTGTTGTCTAGTCTTTTCTTTAGAAAGCATAGCTTTTAATTTAAAATCACACATACTGTGAATTATTGAAGCTTAAATTATCTGTGGCCTGGTCTTTAGGTTAATGTTAGCAAGCGGTTTATTCAATTTTTTAAAAATAAAAATTGAACTTAGAACTTTGTATCTTAAGGTCCTAACAATGATTTAACAAAGATTTATATAGACAAAATAGCTCGTTGATCTGTGGTTTGAACCCAGCCTGTGTTGCTTTTCCCCCCTTCCCCCCATGCATGAATGTAGTGAAGAACTGAATAAGTTCTTTTCCAGTTTGTACATTTGATGTGAGAAATAAATTGTTCTTATGTTATGTTAGTATGTGGATATTGCTAGTTGAAATACCTACTCAGAGCTGTACAAAACCACTCAGGCTTTGTTACGGTTCAAGAGGCGGGTTTGAAGGGGCACTTCACTTGCTTTGCAAAGAGTCTTTGACATGATTTTGCACAGCCCTAATAGTTAAATAAAAAGATCAGTAGTAAGTATTTACTGTATTTAAATCACATAGTTATTGCTTCAATCCTTTCTCTGTGCAGGAAGTAGGTATGCCAGCAGATTATGTAAATAAATTGGCAAGGATGTTTCAAGATATTAAGGTATCTGAAGATCTTAACCAGGCCTTCAAGGAAATGCACAAAAATAATAAACTGGCCCTCCCAGGTACTTTTTATACTTGTTACTTTTTAAAATTCTCAGTGTTATAGAAAGCCAAGATTATTTATATTTATTTATCCTGCTTTTTCACATTAACAAATCCATATTGGATAACTATAGTACAAAATTGTGCATTCAGTTTCTTTGACTCTGTTCCATACATTGGTTGATAGTTTTAGTGTTACTTGGCTGAGCTTTCTGTTCTTGTTTTGTGTACAGCTGATTCTGTGAATATTAAAATTTTAAATGCTGGGGCTTGGTCCAGAAGTTCTGAAAAGGTTTTTGTATCACTGCCAACGGAATTAGAAGACCTTATCCCCGAGGTTGAAGAGTTCTACAAAAAGAACCACAGTGGCAGGAAGCTTCACTGGCATCATTTAATGTCCAATGGAATTGTAAGTATGTCACTTGCTTGCATTTTGTATTTCTGTTTGGTTTTGGCACCCTGAAAGTATGAGTGTATTTAAGCTCACTTATTAATTTTTGGTCATTAACAGATAACTTTCAAGAATGAAGTTGGCCAGTATGACTTGGAGGTTACTACGTTTCAATTGGCTGTGCTTTTTGCATGGAATCAAAGACCTCGAGAAAAAATTAGTTTTGAAAATCTTAAATTAGCGACAGAACTTCCAGATGCTGAGCTTAGGAGAACTTTATGGGTAAGTCTTCAGCTCTTCAATCATATTATAATAGCATTATGAGAACATGCATATTAATATGGAAAACAAAGAACAAGTCTTAATAATTTCTACTTTTAAAATAAAATCTACCTGTAAAATATGACTCTTAGGAAGGAAAGATGGAAAGCTCATTATATATATTATTGCATTCTTAACTCAATTTCTAATTTACATTTTTCAAAGAAGCTACTATTTTCCTAGGTTCAGTTTGTTAGTGCATGACTATCATGCTTAGAACTACTGTATTACTTTAAATGGGACCTGACCAGAAAAGCAATACTAATTTCCTTTTATCAGGACTGATTCTGTTATGCAGTCATGTTTAGTCTATAAGAATACTTAGGTTCTTTTTACATGCAATGAAATCAGTTTCCCTCATCTTATACTGTACGTGCACTTTCATTTTTCTACCTGACTGAAGAACTTTATATTTCTGCCTGTTAAATTCCTTCCTCTGCTTGGCTAGATGTTTTTTAATCTTTTCCTCTGTCCTCTAAAGTATTAGCCCTGTTCTCCAGCTTTGCATTGTCTACAAAAATGTTAGCCCAAGGCCCAGAACAGAACTCTCTAGTATTCTGCTCAAAGCTTCTCTCCAAGCTGAAGTTAATAAACACTCCTGATATGGAATTATTCAGTCGGTCATGTATTCATGTAAAAGTAGTGTCATCTAGCCATTGATCTTCTTCCTAGGACAGGGATCTGCAACCTTAAACACTCAAAGAGCCATTTGGACCTGTTTCCCACAGAAAAAAAAAAACACTAGAAGCCACAAAACCCTTCTCATGCCTGACTTATTTCTTGAGCGGCCACAAAACTAGCATATGTAGTTGAATTAAATGTTCTGTTTTCTTCTGAAATTTTTTTTTCTTGGATTTATCCATTGTTGGCCTACCAGGGGTTGAAAAGCTCAATATATTGCGTGCTGGCAGGTGTTGCACATTGGCAGTTGTGACACATATTTTGAGTGACAGGGAACCACAGCAGAGGGGTGAAAGAGCCACATGCAGCTCCAGAGCCGCAGGTTGCTGACTCCTGTCCTAGGACTAAGAGAGAATGACTTTGTTGAATATCACCCAGTTGGCTTTATAGCTAAAATAGGTCTAGAACTCATGGTCTCTTGCCCGGTGCCTTATCCACTACACCAAACTGGTTCTCGGCCTAAACTAGCATTCTGGTTGCTACTTTCTGGTTGCTTATGTAGACGCAACTGGCAAACTCTTAAAAAGAAAAACCTGAATACGGTGTGTGCTGTTTTATTGCATTAGAGTCTGCCTAAAGTACAAAAGAATGCCAAACCTAATCTAGTATCATATCTTTAAAAGACTGCATGAATAACTTACATAACAATCTTCTTAAACCATATTTAACAAGCTGATAAATATTTGAAACGTCCTACCAGAATGCTTTTAAAGTATCTAGTATCTCAGATACTCTTTAGATTCTTGGACAGTAGTTTTCCATATATTTTTCACTATATTTTTTCTCTGGATTTACCTGGAATAGAAATGGGATTTTTTGAATAAATAAAATATATGTTCTGCCTTATTTATCATTTCTTTGCACTCTTATTCTTTAAAAAGCAGTTTCATTTGCCTCTGTTGCATTGATTCTGCGTTCAGTTCAGATAATTTTTTCAGAATATTTTTCTTAAAGCGTGGATAAATGAATCTGTTACAAAATAGTTTCCATAAAGTGTTTTTCATTTATATGTGAATAAAATAATATTTTGTCAATTCATTGCAATAATTAAAATATAGATCAAATTATAAGATGCTGTACTTATTCATATTTGCATTGATAGACCAATCTGTAACCATATCAGTTACAGGTTTACAAAATGTATTACAAGAAGTTACATGTTTGTTATATCTTTTATATGCATTTTTATGTTGATATTTTGATAAGTAGTCTAAAATGTTTTGCTGATATCAGATTATTATCAGGTTACATTTCAGAATGATCAAATGTAATACATAAGTCTTTTCTTTAACATCTAATTAAAGTAACTAAAATTGCTAGTTTTTGCTTATGAAATTTAAATGAAATTAAAATAATTTTGTCAATGAAGGCATTATAAAATTTGATCTTTATATTTGATCTAAGATCTGATTTTCATAGTCTTTTTTCTCTCTCCTAATTTACAGTCTCTTGTAGCATTTCCAAAGTTGAAACGTCAAGTTTTACTGTATGAACCTCTAGTCAATTCACCCAAAGACTTTACAGAGGGAACTCTCTTCTCAGTGAACCAGGAGTTCAGCTTAATGTAAGAAGTGATAACTGGTTTACTCACAAATGTTTTATAGATATTCAAAGATAACTTTTAATATTGAATGGTTCAACTGCTCTTAAAGTTGAATTTTGAGATAATATCATATTAGAATTAAACTATATTTTTTACAGTTTGAAATTGTAAGAGTTAAATGTTTTGATATATCTATATTCTGCTTTAGAAATACAAATCTTTTCTTTTCCCTGATCTTTCAACTTGTTAAAACTATTATATTGACTGAAGACTGGAATTTAAATATTCTTTGAATTCTTTTAAATCAAACAAACAGATTTAAATTCTTTACAAGTTTTATTGAAATAAATTACAACTATTTTCATTTATATACCTCTTGCTAATGAAGGATCTTGGCAGAGCCATTTCTTTAGTAAAATGACCAAACATCTATAAAGCAGAACTGTAAAACATATGGCTGTATAGTGTAGGTAACTCCCATCTCCCTTGTTTTCGTCGCTTAAGTATTTCAGTAATGCACTAAGTATTATCCTGTGGATTGCCTTCCCTGGACCATAATCTTCTGCTTCTGAGAAAGCTATTCTTAGCCCGCTAGAATTTTTAAAGTAGTACTGTAGATAAAAATTCTTAGTGATTGCAATTGGTGGAAATTGCAAACTGGCTGTTAAGCAAGTTTGGAATTGAATTGAATTGTGTTCCAGTGACTGCAGGGCTGCTGCAGGGGCCAGAACTTTGAGGAAAAGTTGTAAATCCCTTGGTTCAGTGCCATCATAACTTCAAACAGTCTCTGTATGGATTATTGTTAACATATGAATACCCCAAAAGATGACATACTATGCACACTATAGTTTATATTAGATGGGCATTCATATAGCAGCAGTGGTTTGTTTTTTTTAAATGTTTCTAAGTTAGAATAGCAGGACTCCTGAGTTCAATTTGAATTCTGAAATTACATGGGCATAACCATGCAGAATTCTTGGGAACAATTCTTTTTGATACATTTTTACTTTTCAGTATTTCTTCCAGCCAGTTCTGGTATTTTCTGACAGTCTCCTATCCAAGTACTAACCTGGCTTGGCTCTCTTAACTGCCAAATGTAAACCATAATATAGAGACTGTGCAGAGAATTGATAGGCCAGGTAAATAGGCTTAGTTGTTCCCATGCCACATTTTTTGCTGACATTAAGGATAATGTAGTCATTTGTGCAACCAAAATCATTTGGTTTGAAGGTTGCTCATAAATTGTTGCTTATACGGTCTTGTGGGCCTTGTGCCTAGTTAGAGTTCTCATTAAAGGTGAGATGGCCTGGAATAATATAATTAAAGTACTAAATCCAGCAATTCTCAGCTTGAAGTTTATTTTTGTGATGAACTGTTTTTCAACTTTAGTTCTCTTTCATATATTGTATTGAGATTGTGTTGTAACAAAAGTTTTTTTTAGGCAATATGCAATATTTGCAATTGAATTATACTGTTAATGAAGAACACAGAGTAATACGAGTAAAGCATTTTGAATATTAAGCATTTGTAATATTGATTATAGTGTTAGAGCACATTATTTTGTTAGTAAATATTAATTTCCTGTTGGCACTCTGATAAGCACACTTATCAGAGTGCTTTCAGCCATAATAATACGTATAAATATAAAACAGTTAAATCTTTGTGAGCAAAATATTAACAAATCATGAAAAATCCATTAAATATCCAAGTAAATGGAAAAAAACAGAATTGCTTTCCTAAAAATAATTGTATACGGATACAATTTTCAATGTCTATATTCAGTTTCCAGTCTCTGTATTCCAAGTAGCTATGTCTCTCAAATCTTCAAGAACATCCATTGATTAAAACTAACCTATATATGTTTATTCTTTTATTGCATTTTCTGTTTGGTTTTTTTTAGAAAAAATGCTAAAGTTCAAAAAAGAGGTAAAATAAACCTTATTGGTAGACTGCAGTTAACAACAGAGAGAATGAGAGAAGAAGAGAATGAAGGGATAGTCCAGTTAAGAATATTACGAACCCAGGTATGTTAACTGATTGTAGGTTGTTCTAATTCTGGAACCTAAGAGATATGATATGCAATTATGGTATGCTGTTCAAAAAGTGGTATGTTGATGCTTGACAACTCCCCTCCCCTTCCTTCATATTATGTAACTAGATGAAAAGTAAAATAGGCTGTGGAGATTCATACATTCAGCTGTCTCACTTTTTCATCAGAAGGGCTTCACAAAGCAGGCAGGTAAAAAATAGTTTTTCTGCTAAGTTGCAAGACACAAACTGAAAACTGGCAACTTCAAGGAAGAGAGTTTGAGTAGATTTCACTATATACAGTGCAGAAAAGAAAGAGTAGCAAGAAATCCAGGTTGATCTTTTAGTACTTCCACTTAAAAGTTCTTAGTTGATAGGTCCAGCAATGAAGATGCCAGGGAGCCATTTTCAAGGTGCATGGCATGCCAAAATTTGCCAATTTCTAGCAGTGGAACATCAACATTACTAGGCATATACTACATGGATGACATTATAAAGGTATTACTAACAAGTGCCCATTAGTAGAATCTGGCATGGGGGAGATTATAAAGAAGTATAAATTTGTAAATTAGAAAAAACCTAAAATGTAAGTTTCCTGGTTTTGAGGGGTGTTTTTGTATGTCTAGGGGAGGAATACATTGGTTATCAAGTTGATAGTCATCAGCCTGTAACTGACTCTGCAGTGCCATATGGAATTCTAGATCACTTTGTAGGTTAGCAAAGGTTTGCCTTCAGCTGTCCAAATCACAACTCTGAGTGTTCTGCTTCTTTCTGTGATCCTTCTATCCCAGGAGTGTCAAACTCGATTTCATTGAGGGCCGTATCAGGGTTGTGTTTGATCTCGGGGGGCTAGGGTGCATGTGGCCATCTTAACATCATTTGTGTCAGTGCATGTGGTGGCCCGAGCACTGTGTTAGCAAAAACGGGGTCCCGAGCTCTGTTATTTGACTGTGACGGCCTCCTGCAACCCTCTGCCAGTGAAAACGGAGCTTGGGAAGGCTGCATGCGGCCTTCCCAAGCTCCTTTTGCACTGGCAGAGGGTTGCAGGAATCTGTCGCAGCTGAAAAATGGAGCTCGGGAGCCCATTTTCGCTGGCAGAGGCATGCGAGCCGATCCGTCACTGTTTCCAGGCAGCCCCGTGGGCCGCATTCAGGCCACGGGCCTTGAGTTTGACACCCCTGTTCTATGCCATTTTGTCCATATGTTGGACCATAAATAATTCTGTCCCACACTTACAGAGATTAACTAAACCTTCCCTCAGATTTGCACCTTCTAGGTGTGTTGAGATTGCAGCTGCCAGAATTCCCAGACTGCGTGGCTTAGTGAGTGCCAGATTGAAGAAGGATGTAAATGTAGAGGACAAGGAAAATGACCTTAACGGAAATACGCAGGCCGTGTTGCCTAGTCCAGAGAGTCTACATGTATCTTTAACAAGGTCAATTTCTTACTTTCTACATTGGGATAGCTAGTAAGACCAAACAAAAATTGTCTTCTACATTCGCTCACAAGAATCCAGTGTTATAAGAGCCTTATGTATAACCTTATGTATAACATAAGGTTGCATTTTCAGGTTATGCCCTACCATGTTTCCCCAAAAATAAGACCCTTTCTTATATTTTTTTGAACCCCAAAATAAGCGCTTGGCCTTATTTTCAGGAAGATCTTATTATTTTGGGGCGCATGAAGCAAGATGGGGCTCCTTTTGCCATCTTACCTGATTTCCAGCTCTGTCTCTCTAACCCTAAGCAGAGGAAGTAGTAGGGACCGGGTGCGCATGCTTTTAAATATTTTCAGGGAGGGCTTATTTTTGGGGGAGGGGGCTTATTTTAGCGCATGCGCTCAAAAGCCCGATTGAGCTTATTATCAGATGATGTCTTATTTTCGGGGAAACACAGTATCCATTTAGCTTTTTCCTGCATGATATTGCTAAAAACAATCATAGGCAACCAGGCTGGTGAGTATGTACAGTCAGATCGAGAAATATTGGGACATCAACACAATTCTAACATCTTTGGCTCTATACACCACCACAATGGAGTTGGAATGAAACAAACACAATATGCTTTAACTGCAGACTGTCAGCTTTAATTTGAGGGTATGTACATCCAACTCAGGTGAACGGTGTAGGACTTACAGCAGTTTGCATATGTGCCTCCCACTTGTTAAGGGACCAAAGGTAATGGGACAATTGGCTTCTCAGCTGTTCCATGGCCAGGTGTGTAATATTCCCTCATTACCCCAATTACAATGTGCAGATAAAAGGCCCAGAGTTCATTTCAAGTGTGCTATTTGCATTTGGAATCTGTTGCTGTCAACTCTCAAGATGAGATCCAAAGAGCTGTCACTATCAGTGAAGCAAGCCATCATTAGGCTGAAGAAACAAAACAAACCCATCAGAGAGATAGCAAGAACATTAGGCGTGGCCAAAACAACTGTTTGGAACATTCTCAAAAAGAAGGAACGCACCGGTGAGCTCAGCAACACCAAAAGACCCGGGAGACCACGGAAAACAACTGTGGTGGCTGACCGAAGAATTCTTTCCCTGGTGAAGAAAACACCCTTCACAACAGTTGGCCAGATCAAGAACACTCTCCAGGAGGTAGGTGTATGTGTGTCAAAATCAACAATCAAGAGAAGACTTCACCAGAGTGAATACAGAGGGTTCACCACAAGATGTAAACCATTGGTGAGCCTCAAAAACAGGAAGGCCAGATTAGAGTTTGCCAAACAACATCTAACAAAGCCTTCACAGTTCTGGAACAAGATCCTATGGACAGATGAGACCAAGATCAACTTGTACCAGAGTGATGGGAAGAGAAGAGTATGGAGAAGGAAAGGAACTGCTCATGATCCTAAGCATACCACCTCACCAGTGAAGCGTGGTGGTGGTAGTGTCATGGCGTGGGCATGTATGGCTGCCAATGGAACTGGTTCTCTTGTATTTATTGATGATGTGACTGCTAACAAAAGCAGCAGGATGAATTCTGAAGTGTTTCGGGCAATATTATCTGCTCACATTCAGCCAAATGCTGCAGAACTCATTGGACGGCGCTTCACAGTGCAGATGGATACTGATCCAAAGCATATTGCAAAAGCAACCAAAGAGTTTTTGAAGGGACAGAAGTGGAATGTTATGCAATGGCCAAGTCAATCACCTGACCTGAATCCCATTGAGCATGCATTTCACTTGCTGAAGGAGGCACATATGCAAACTGCTGTAAGTCCTACACCGTTCACCTGAGTTGGATGTACATACCCTCAAATTAAAGCTGACAGTCTGCAGTTAAAGCACATTGTGTTTGTTTCATTCCAACTCCATTCTGGTAGTGTATAGAGCCAAAGATGTTAGAATTGTGTCGATGTCCCAATATTTCTGGACCTGACTGTATATAAAGGGGTTCCTTTATCTAAGCTGGTCTGACCTTCCCAGTTACTAAAACAAATTCTTTTAGTTGACAGAAGACTTAACACAGTGACTTAAACAGATGCTTGTGCAATTGTGTATATTGTATCTCTTTCAACTTGTTCACTAGATTCACTTTGCTTATCTTGGACAAATATATCCAAAGTGCAATTTTCCCTTTTTCTCCCCCTGTTTTTAGGAGGCTATCATCCAAATAATGAAAATGCGGAAGAAAATTACTAATGCTCAACTTCAGACTGAATTAGTAGAGATATTAAAAAATATGTTCTTGCCGCAGAAGAAAATGATAAAAGAGCAAATTGAATGGCTTATAGAACACAAATATATCCGAAGAGATGAATCTGATATCAATACGTTTATATACATGGCATAGCCTAAGGATTTACTGGAAAATGTCAAGAAAATGTGCATTGGGAGTGGTTTGGGCAGAAAAAAAAATACAAGAAGACTGTGCTGTAAAAGGACTTGACCTGCATTACTTACTCAAATTCCTGCCTTACGTTACCAGAGGACTTTATTTTGTCAGTCAATCTCTCTCTCTCTCTTTTTTTTTTTTCGTTTGCATGATGGTGTTCCCCTCATCTTGTGCACAATTTTAACAGCATGCTGGTTTTGTGCGGAAACAACATTCACAGAGAGCCCATTGTGAGAATGTTAGGATTTGATTTGCACCTGGAAGAGAACAGAATCTGGGATTTTTATATTACAGAATTTGCACAAAGAAAAAATTTTCAGATATTCATGCACTGAAAAACTTGCTAGTTTTCATTTTCACATAAAAAAGAGAGAAGCAAATAGATTAGATGTAGCACTTCATACTTTGTGTTTTGGAACAACTGTCTAAATGTACTGTCCTTTTGATCTCTCCCATGTATAATATTTGAACAACACACAAATGCATCACATCTATAGATATGTATTTATCTGTTAGCTTAAACAAGTGTTTCAGTATGAAAATTGGATTGGAATACTGGGATACTAGTAATTCTAACAGGATATATTACATATGTCACATAGTTTGCTTCAATCCCCCTCTTTTTTAAAAATATTCACTTTATTCATGGAAAGATGTGTTTGTAGTGTAGTGGGAAAAAATATTAAATGTATTTGTTTATACATTTAATACTGGCATTCACTATTTTAGTATGCTTGAAGAAAAGTAATGCATTAAACATAACCAGTACACAGTTCTCTCAAAATAGTAACATTTTGACAATCCTTATATATACCTTTATTTATTTGAAAATAACTAAACTTATGTTTTTACATGTAATTATACTCTGAAGAAAAAGAGAAAGCGTGGAAGAAGGCATGTCTTTTTGTCCAGTTTGACCAGATAACAGATTAATCAATCACATAGGCTGTACCTATGTGATTCTACCAACAACAGTTGCACCATAGCCCCGTAAGTTTAGTGGGCTTGTATGTATCAAGTTATGTAACAAACCCACCACTAGTTGAAGCCCCTTTTCTCTTTTCCTTTAAAAAAAAATCTGCCTCAGATTTAAGTGAAGAAACACATACTAAGGCTGTGAAATATAGTTTATAGTCTATAGAGAGCAAAAAGAGACAGAACTTCAGATTAAATTAAATGCTAGTAAAGGGACTCCCAAGCTTTTAGCTTCTCTAAATGATTTCCTACTGTGCCATATTGCTAGCACCTCTTTGCAAAACTACATTAGAAATTTTAGCAATGCATATGAGTTTTCTTACCTTTCGGTTGTTACATTAGACTATGGCTGCTAATTGGTAGAAAAGTAAGATCAAGACAGACCGTAATTGTGGGCCAAATGAATTTAACAGGCTGTATTTTACATAACAGACAGTGCCAGGAATATAATCCAGTGGAAATGGAAATCGGTTTAAGCTGTAAGGTTTTCTTTTTCTGATTTCTCATCTGTACTCCCTTGTATACAATCTTCCTGAGTAAATTCTTAAAGAGTGCATGACATGTCCACAGGGGAAGGAAAATTCGTCCCCTCCCCCAAATTGGAAACTGATCTTTGAATTCTGCCTCAAAATCTTGCACTGATGCACAGATGCAGATTATAACTACCAACTGTAATGAATGTCCCAGGGCTAGGTTGAGAGAACCCTACCATGGTGCAGTGGAGAATTACAGACATTCATGGTTATGGAAAAAAAAAAAAAGCAAGTAAATGAAGACAGGGTGCTGACCTGAAGTTTCATCTTCTGTACTTATGTGCATTTTTTATTACTTGTAGAACAGAGATTAATATTTTTTAAAGTGTTCGCTGCAAACTTAACATAGGATTGTTAAAATTTCAATTTCAAAATGTTGTGAATAAAAGTCAGAAAAAAGTTGTATATATTATCCAACATTCAATATATGCTAAAGGAAAGAAAACTAGAATTGATTTACCAAGAAGTCTTTTGTACATGCTACAAGATTTCTAAAACTCTGCATTTGATTTGGAAATAAAGTTAGAAATGGGTAGAAAAAGACAACAAGTTTTTTTTTTTAGAAAGTATGTACATATTTCTAAAATTCTTTGGTAGAGTCCTTTTGACTTAGCTTCCTGTTATTTCGGCTGTGAAAGGAGGAGGCATGCGGCATTGAATATCCAACCAGCCCTAAACCTCGTATTTAATGATGTTCAAATGCTAGCAGTCTTTCAGAATGATTTCATTTCTTAACAGGGCAAGTCTTTTAAAAGTTACATTTTGTGTCTGATTTCTAACTTCCTTTAGGCTTAATGAATAGCTCTTCAGAATTACCTCTCTCTGCGCTTCCTTCTGCCTCTTGGAAACAGAGATAACTGATGCAGTGTAAGAGATTATTTTTTTGAAGGGAAAATTGCTAGACACCCCAGGTATACATGGAATCGTTTTAGGAGCACTCGTGCCTGGATGTTGCTAATGGAAGACTTTTCCTTATTTACATTAAAAACATTGAGTACTCATGTCTTACCTTTTATACCCATTTCATTCATAATTTAAGTGGGTTTAAAGCCAGAAAATAGAACAAACAGTACGCTACAAACCTAGTTTCAGTACTTATGCACATTGGAATACATGCCATGTAAAACATGATTCAAAACACACACCAGCAATTTTCTTACAGCTGCAGCATCACATTTAGCATTTCTGCTCGGACACTTTCAACAAGATGCCCTTAAGGCTAACTTTGTTGTGAAGGGAGCTATATAGGGTTTAAAAATATACGCAGAAGTGTGGTGGATACTTTCACATCTAAAAGTAAATTAAATCCCGGTAATCAGTCCTTGCAATATGGCACTTTTCAAGCTGATTTTTTTAGCTTTGGATTATTTTTTTTGTTCCCGCCAAAGACCTAGAATAAAGAGGTGCTGCTTCTAGGGGGGGAAATGTTGCCACAAGCATTGCCACTGTGGTTTGTATTAGGTTATATTCTAAATGTGAAAAATATTCTATGAAAAATAATGTGAGTTGCATTTGATTTTAACTACTTACAAAATGTTTTGTCACAACTAATGAGGTTCGTACTCTACTTTGAAGTCTTCCATTTTTTTCTTAATCCCATTGATGTCTTTGTGTACTATCTATTCATTTATTGTTTTTCTTGGAGCATAGTGTAGTTAAATTTAAGTTGTAGTGGTGGTTCTTTCTCCTTTCCCTGTTTTTTTTTTTAAAGGTAACATGACCTGAGTAATCATAAACTTTGGATTTTATTTGCATTATGGTATCAGTTGTGGAAGGTACACATATAAAAATACAGAGGGGAGAATTTTGATAGGTTCATGGACAAATTTTGGTATCTTGAGTGCAAAATTATTTTCATGGAACTAGTTGGAATGCTGTGTTTGTAAATTCAAGGTTCTATGTGTGAAATAAAACAGTACTCAAGAGCATTTTTGTTAATAGACTATATGTAGCCTGGAGTGCAGCGCAAACTTGAGTTTCCAAGGTTGTAATATCTATCTACATATGGTAATTTACAGTTTGAATGTATGCCACTACATATGAGATAATGCTGTACAATTTTGACTGGTAGCAGTTTCTTGTATGGCAGTCTGGCTGAACTATTTTGATGTACTGCTTAATTTTTGGATTTTATTTTTTAAGTTGTATAATTTATTTTCATGCAAATAAAATGTAATATAAAATATTCTAAAAACAATATCATGACTTTTTTGTTCTAAGGATTTCTTGCATTTATAATTCTACCCCACATCAGTAACCATATTAACCAAGATCTGAAAATGGCTTCCTCAGCTCTTTCCATGTTTTGTATGATTGGGAACTACTTGATTAATGCTTTAGTAACAATTTTGTTCACATGATATGCTAAACCATGGTTAAGTAAACAACCTAGTTTTCTAGGTTCACACTGAACCATAATTTAAGCAGATGTGATGGATTTGTAAATCATTTTAGGTTACAATATTGTTACCTAGTTTTTCTTTTACCAGTTCTTGAAAAACAACAACCAACATATAGAATAACTGACTTTACTAGAAATAGGTGGAATATAAAATGTAGATTTTGAATCCCAGAAAGGGGACTATACTCTCGTCAGACTTTCTTAAATTGTGCCTTTTCAGATGTGATACAACAGCTCTTTGGGAGAATTCAAGCATCAGCTTCTTCCCAAGCTAAGAGTAAACATAAAATGCAAGATAATTTTAAGGGTATTTTGTAATATGGTGCCCATATTATTACCTGGGTGGACCCCATCTGGGAAATTAATATACTGAAAGAAAATAGTTGCAAATTACTTTTACATTATAGCCAACAACAACAATAAAGAGCATGGGTGGATGGTCAGCAAAATTCTATTAAGGATTACCAGAGATAGCAACATATCTATTTTAACCTGGATCAAATAAACCAACTTTATAATCCTTCCCTTTACTTTTAACAATCTTGGTCATTAATCCCTTAAGATAATGTCCTATAATTTGATTTCATTTTTTCTGTTTCTTCTCACAAAATCCTTCATAACTTTAACAGGTCTTTTGTAAATCCGATATAAGTCACTCTTCTGGTTTGTTATTTGTAACAACTTTTAATTATTAAGAATCAATTGGTTTCATTTGTATATCCAGTATATCATCCTTTTTCTTAGCGTTCTTGTAATCTTTCATTTTTAAATTCACTTTCAGATTAGTCTCAGTCTTATTCTTCCATGACACTTTTATATACTATTTATAATGGCAAACATTCTTAGAAGTAACTTCCAAGTCCATTATTCACAATTATCCTTCAAGACATCCAATGTTAATGAATTTTGCTCCATCCTGTGTTAGCAAGTCGAATTTAAGTGTTCTTCTCTTTTAATTGTAATCTTTAGTTCCTTCTGGTTCGTTCTGGTGTCCAACCTTCAAAATAGTTTTCTTTTTTTTTTTTTAAGAATTCAAAACAACAGCATTTTTCCACAGGAATAATTCTTATAATCAATTTCAAAATCTTATTTCATATCCATTTGGACCCTTAGCTCATTTATAACTTTCCAAAATCAACAGTCCAATCACCTTTTTATTGTTTTTTTTTTAAAGTCCTTACCTTAAATTCATATTTAAAAATTTACTTCAATGAGGATTGGAAGAATCAGTGAATGTCATAAAACCTGCAATTTCAAAGGTTCTTAATATTTGAAAAGTATAAAAAGTAATTCCAAAAGTGATTAAGAAACAAAGCCCAATGAAAATTTATCTCCATATAGGCTAAGTTGTAGTCACTCAATTCTTAGTTATTTGATTCACAAGCATACCAAAAAAAAAAAAAAAAAACTTCAGATCCTACAGTATATTCATGAGGAGCAGCTATCTATCCACAGTACCAGTGAGCAATATCACCATCTATGCCAAGTTTTTGCTGGCCAAGATCCACCCTCTGGCCCCTTATCTTAGCCATAATATTACATCAATTACCATCTGGCAGCCGGTACAGGATAATAAAAACAAGGACAAATAGGCTGAAAAACAGCTTCTATTCCAGGGCAATAACCATATTGAATTCTACGGTATAGTGCAATATCGGGTTTTCAATTTCTATTATATAGAATGTAAAGGATGTATGTTTGTGTTTTTATTTTTATAGTTATAATGTATACTGAAGATGGCATTTAATTTTGTTGTACTGTTGGAAGAAAAATCCTTCTGGGTTCAATTCCAAGTGGGGAAAAAGACACTGGAAACATGGAGACTGCTTGGCAAGATGGTTTAATGGTGGACAGGATCACATGGTTTCTCACATGAGTTCTTGAACAGAAAAGGGCAGAGATGCTGCAAGTCCCTGGATTTTATGCCCTCTCTGGGCTCCGAACTTCCTGGGGCACAGGAAGAGTATCCTGTTTGGTTGTCAGATTCCCAGGAGGTGGGGGTCTTAGCTAGCCTTGCTGGCTGATGTAATCTTCCAGGTGCCATGTGGTGAGTTTCTGTTGCTAGATGTGCCCTATTGTGTTGCAGATTATGGTCCATTGACAAAGGTGGGGGGAATTGGGTTTCTGCCTCTGGCCCATTGACAAAAGTGTGTGGGGGGGAAGGCAGGAAGGTGGGAGCTGCTTTGTCTTTAAAACATGTTTCTTCATTTCTCATCCAGGGAAATATATTCTGCCTTTTTAATATTACCTAAAATATTTAATTCTTCTAGGAGAGGGGTGGGTGCTAACTTCCTACAGTACCATGTGCAATGACAATAAATGTCTATTTTGCCATATCCTCACTAGAATTCATTGATTCTTTTTACAATTGGACAGCTACCTTGAGTGCTCAGCATATTGAAGTCAGGGAACAGATCAAGGGGAGAAAGAGGGAGGGAGGGAGGGAGAGAGAGAGAGAGAGAGAGAGAGAGAGAATTTACTGAGTACATTCATAATGAATCCACCCTGCTCCATTTTCAAAGGCCCTAAAAATATGGCTTTGTTAGTAGGCCTGGGGACCACAAATGGAAATGGAGCCTATCAAGTGGCTAACTTAATTGTATTCTTGCTGCTATGGGTGGCAGTGGGGAAGGGTTTTTAAAAAAAATAATGTTAGAATATGGTGGAATTTTCCATCATATTTTCCAATGTTTAAATGTTGTAAGCGGTCTGGACTCACCTACGTGTGACCTGGCGGCTATATAAATTTGTTAAAATAATGTTTTCTCAGTGTAAAATAAAGCTTCCAACACAACAAGGCTAGCAATTTCCTAATATCTAAGGGGGCTACCACAAAAAAGGAAGTCAACCTATTCTCCAAAGCATCTGAAGGCAGGACAAGACATAATCGATGGAAACTTACCAAATACAGAGCTAACCTAACTAAGGAGAAATTTACTGACAGTGAGAACAATTAATCAGTGGAATTGGTTGCCTTTAGAAGTTGTGCCCCATCACTGGAGATTTTTAAGAACAGATTGGACAGCTGTTTGTCCAGAATGCTTGAGCAGAGGGTTGGACTAGAAGACCTCTAAGATTCCTTCCAACTCATTCCACCAGCGGCTAAACAAACTGACTGAACTATTTCCTCAGACTCTTGGATTTAAGTGAGTGAATTGTATGATGCTGTATACAACTGATGTATGTTTGATCATGATTTAAACGCTCCTTGTTTTTATAGTTTTTATTGTCTTTTTCTAATTTGGCTAAAATAATATTTGTGCATGTTCAAGTCCTTTGTAAGCAATTCTTACATGAAGATTTGTGCTTTTATTACCCAATCGTCTTTTTATAACCTGTAATAGGCTCCTCTGCTATCAGTGCGCAATGCATCTAGGCAATCAAATTTAAAACTGTGGTGAATTATATACTAGAGTGTAATGTGATAAAAACATGTAGGAAAAGAATTAACCCAAGGGAAGTTTTCCTAACTGTTATCTCATTCTTCTTTTGTTGCTAAAATCTGCTGGGGTACTGTAAACAAGAGCCCATAAGCCAGGGGTGAAATCCAGCAGGTTCTAACAGGTTCTGGAGAACCGGTAGGGGAAATCTTGAGTAGTTCGGAGAACCGACAAATACCACCTCTGGCTGGCCCCAGAATGGGGTGGGAATGGAGATTTTGCAATATCCTTCCCCCAGGAGGGGAGGGAATGAAGTCTTTGCAATATCCTTCCCCTGCTATGCCCACCAAGCCATACCCACAGAACCAGTAGGGAAAAAAATCTGGATTTCACCCCTGCCATAAGCCTGTAGGAAGTTAGCACCCACCCCTTTCCTAGAAGAATGAAATATTTTAGGAAATATTAAAAAGGCAGAATATTATGTTTCCCTGTATGAGAAATTGAGAAGCATGTTTTAAAGATGAAGCAGCTCCCACCTTCTTGCCGCCACCCCTCCCCATTCTTTGTTAATGGGCCAGAGGCAGAAACCCAATCCTTTGTCAAAGGACCATCATCTGCAACACAATAGAACCCATCTAGCAACAGAAACTCACCACATGGCACCTGGGAAGATTACAGCAGACCCCCTGGGAGTCTGACAACCAATCAGGATATTCTTTCTGGGGCCCAGGAAGTTCAAAGCCAGAGAGAGCATAAAACCCGGGGACTCGCTGTATCTCGCCCCTTTTCTGTTCAGGAACTCAAGCCATGTGATCCTGTCCACCATTAAACCATCTTTCCAAGCAGTCTCCATGTTTCCAGTGTCTTTTTCCCCACTTGGAACTGAACCCAGAAGGATATTTCTTCTTACAAGCCAATGATTAAAGCTGGATCCTATTGTTTTAAGGGAAAGGGAACATAATAATAGATCCTCTACTAATTTTAGGTTATGTGATTTAATTATAAAATATACGTGTGTGTGTGTGTGAGAGAGAGAGAGAGAGAGAGAGTATTCTCTGTATATGTTTGTGAGAGGGTGTATGTGTATTAAATTACCTGAGGATTCAAAATGGTGCTGCAGATTACATCACACTCTATGTCGCACAGCATACTGATTGACCATGTTTCCTCATTTATTACATCTCCTGCATGATTTAATAGCTTCTATGTTTTGTAGAAAAAGAAGACTGAACAACATTCCTTGGTCAGCCAGAGACAGTTTATTGTGCAGTTTCAGAACCAGATTTGTATCTGCAATTCTGAACAAAGAAAGAGTTCTGATACAACTGCTTTTATACATATCCAAGGCAAAGGATTTTGCTGGCACAGCAGTTTTCCATATATGGTTAAGATACATTTGTTATA